GTATCCCCTCCCATATAAGTTGTTAGCCGCCCTGAGTCCCCTCAGGGAAAAGGGCGGCCTATAAATAAACTTATTCTAATTCTAATTCTAATTCTCTGAGCTCGGTTGTTTTTTTGCAGACATTTTATTACCCGGAACTAGCGGCGGCCTCAAACAACGTCCCATCATCCCAAAAACAGTCAAGCAAGAAATAATACCCTATCACAGATGGCAGGGCAAGCTTCTATGTGCAAACAGCCTACAACTACTCCTCCACACCTTGATGAAGTTATGCAGCCTGGTAATGAAAGATCTGCAGGAAGTGAAGCAAGCATAGAGAAAACCAAGAACCCATTATTATCCCAAATAGCAACAAGCAAGCATGTGATATGCCGACATTGTATCATAGCTTACTACAGACCGTGGCTTAGGAAGGGAGCGCAAACTCTACAGCAGTGATGGCTAACCTTTCGGTTGTCGCATGCTAAAAGTATGCATGCGCACCTACAAGGCAGCGTGTGTGCGAAATCCCCACCATGCTCCCCCTGGGCATGCGTGCACAACACACACACCCGATCCCATTTTGGGCCTATTAGGCCTCCCTGCAGCCTCCTGGGAGCAAAAACGGGCCGCGGGGTGTGTGGTGTGGCCCCCTGCACTCCCCCTGCCTCCTGTGCATGCACGTGGGAACCCCCCCTCCGCTCCCTCGCATGCACCCCACACCCCATGCATGCACGGCAGAGACCCAAAAATCAGCTGGCCAGCGGGAGGCACACACACATGCGCAGTGGAGCTGACCTGGGTGACGGTTTTTATGCCCACAGAGAGGGCTCTGCGTGCCACGCGTGACAGATTCGTCATCATGGCTCTACAGCAAAATGCACTTTCATATCAGTAAATATGAATCCGGAGTGATCAATCAGAATAGAGTTGGAAGGGAACTTGGAGGTCATCCAGCCCAACCCTCCTACTCAAGCAGGAGGCTCTATACCATTTCAGACAAGTGTCCAGTCTTTTTTTAAAAACCTCCAGTGTTGAAGCACCCACAACTTCTGAAGGCAAACAGTTCAACCGGTTAATTGCCCTCACTGTTAGGAAACTTCTCCTTAATTCCAGGTTGCTTCTCTCCTTGATTAGTTTCCATCCAGTGTTTCTCGTCTTGTCTTCTGGAGTGGCTTTGGAGCAGGAGTCACCAATGTTTCAGACCTCAGGGACCACTAAATTCATAATTTTAAATCCCGCGGACCACTCATAGGAATTTTTAACAAAGATAAATAGCATTTAGTTAAAGGTTCCCTTCGCACATATATGCTAGCTGTTCCCGACTCTAGGGGGCAGTGCTCATCTAGTCTATTTCAAAGGCAAAGAGACAGCGCTATCTGAAGACGTCTCCGTGGTCATGTGGCCAGCATGACTAAACGCCAAAGGCGCACGGAACGCTGCTACCTTCCTACCAAAGATATTT